CATTAAGCATCTGCCTTCAGCTCAGGTCATGGTCCCAGGGTGCTGGGATCCAGCCCCGCATCGGGGGGGTCCCTGCTCAGCGGGAGGCCTGCTTCTCCCTCTCCCACTCCCCCTTGCTTGTGTTCCCTCTCTCGCTGTCTCTCTCTGTCAAATAAATAAAATCTAAAAAACAAAAAACAAAAAAACCTGAGACCTCTGTTGGTGAGAGGGCGGGGAGGGGACTCTCTTCACCGATGAGAGCAGAAAGGGGTTGGCTCGCTGCCAGCCTCAGGTTTCCTTGTTCTTGAGACAAAGACACAGTTTGGGGGTTGTTTCTGACAGCAGATGGGGAGCTGAGGGGATCACAATAACACCTGTCACAGCAACACCCAACATCTACGGACCAGTTATTCTGCTGTGTTCTTGATATTTGGGAACTTACTTGGTTCATCATGCAATGGCTGTAGGATGGGGATGCTCTTGTTATTGACATGAAAAAACATCTTTATTAGGAAAACTTCCAAATATACACAATATTACAGAGTCCAAGGAACCCTCCAATGCATACAGCTGGTGTCAAGTGGTCACTCATCACAGAGCACATCAGTATATTTTCCTGGCATGTTATAAGAAGCAGGGAGGAGGCCAGGCTAGTCAGAGCAGGAAAAGCAGAGGGTAGGAGACGGCCAGGGGCGATGGGCATGAGGAAACTCCCAGAAGCCTCTGGGGCAGTGGTCAGAATTTGAATTCTATTTTAAATATGATAGGAAACCACGAAAGGGTTCTTTATTCAGTTTGGGAGCACAGAAGAAGAGGAAGCTGGGGATAAGGGAGGAATTCTGGAGAAAGCTGTCGGTGTTGTGTGTGAGTCCCAAAAGGGGAGGGCTGGCAGGTTGCTTCTCTGTCCACTGAAGCCTAGAGAGGGACCTTCAAGGTGCCCATGGACTTTAAGAACTTAATATGTGCTCCTAGGACATAGCGTATTACTATCTGACTTGCAGCCGGAAAACTTAAAAGGCAAGTTTCCGTGTAGGTACCGTATGGTGGACCAAAAGAGAGAAGGTTGCCCTGACCAGGGGCCTGCAGCCCCTAGTATTTCTGAGCAGAGATGGGAGGGTGGGGGAGACCCCTCCGGACCAGACATGGGCCCATGAACAAGAGCAGACACAAGAGGTCAAGTTCTGGAAGATCAGGCAGAGGAGGGGACACTCAGCAGAGACCAGCAGGCTTCCCGCTGAGCAGGGAGCCCGATGTGAGCCTCGATCCCAGGACCCTGGGATCAGGACCTGAGCCGAAGGCAGACGCTTAACCGACTGAGCCACCTAGGCGTCCCCACAGAAGAGTTTGAAACAACAAATTGGCTGCTGGCAGGGAAGTAATAAATTCATGAAACTATTTCTGTAAGACTAATGGTTAACATGGATCAAGCACATAGTATGTTATGAGATAATTACCCAAATTTTCTTATGTGTGTTACCTTATTTTACTGTCGAAACACAGAGTTATATTGGGTGCTAATTCTTATTGCAAACTTATAGATAAGAAAATTGAACGAAGCACAATGAAGTTAAGCAGCTTGCCCAGGACCACAAAGCCAGTGAGAAACAGAACCAGGATTTGAATCCAAACTAACTGTAGAGCTCATGTTCTTCAACATAATTCTAGAATGCTTCCCAGCAGGGTCAGGACGAGCATAATTTAGTAACAGAAGTAATTGAGGTCTATTGAAAGAATTGCGGTTATATACCTTGTGTGCAAAATTTCAGAAGGTGTCGCAGAAAACCTCCATGATCAAGATAGGTAATACATTAGTGTGACACTTTTTTTTTTAAGGTTTTATTTATTTATTTATTTATTTATTTGAGAGAGAGAATGAGAGAGAGAGAGAGCTTGAGAGCGGGGAGGGTCAGAGGGAGAGGCCGACTCCCCGCTGAGCAGGAAGCCCGATGTGGGACTCCATCCCGGGACTCCAGGATCATGACCTGAGCCGAAGGCAGTCGCTTAAACAACTGAGCCACTCAGGCGCCCAGTGCGACATTTTTTTAAAATCAAAATTAACACACACACACACACACACACACACACACACACACACACACAAAGATCCATGCTGAAAACCCCCACCTCCCTATATGCCGCTTGCTTTAGCCGAAAAACCCTTCTGCTCCCAGTGAAGCATTTTGAACAAAAAAAATTTCAGGATGTCAATTTCAATGGCTATCACATTATTGGTGGCCTGGGGCTTCCAGAGATTCCGCCCCTCCCAGGTCCTTCTAGATGGTCTGCTCCGCAGAGGGGTTGCTGCCTGAGGCTCTGGAGTAAAGGTGGGGTGGTACCTAGCACGGGGGCTATGTCTTCCAGCTTCTCGGCAGCTTCCTGTTGTGGTCACTGGAGGGGGCCTCAGCCCCCGACTCTGTTCCTCGACCTTTACCTTTGCTGTGGCCCAAGGGGGCCTCTTTTGGGTGATCTGGATGGTGACCTCTACCCTGAGGAAGAACCAGAGGGCCTTGCCATTAGTGGGATTACCCTGAGGAAACAATGCTCCCCACTGGGACAGTGTAGCCAGAATTTTGGAATAAGGCAGTCCCAAATTCAAATCCTGACACTGTTTTATGACCATGTATCATCTGGAAACCTTTATGTATCTAACCTTAATTTCCTTCTCCATAAAACGCAAGGAGTTCACTTAATCCCTTAACAAATGTGTCCTGAGCAGTGAGCTGGGCACTGTTCTAGGTGTTGGGTACAGCATGGTGACCAAACAATAGCCAATAAACCTCCTGAGGTTTAAAGATATTGTAACCAAGAGGTGGGGTCCTAAAGTCGTAGCATAAATCCCAGCTTTGCCACGTCATCACTGTGAGACCTTGGGCAAATGATTTAACCCCACCGAGTCTCTGTTACCTCCTCTTTAAAATTCAGGTAGAATACCACCCTTATAACCGTTGTGATCATCCAATGAAGCAATGCATGTAAAATGCTCAGGGCGGGGCCAGGAGTGTGGTCAAACATCATAACTGATTATTACTCCTTCCCATGGCCTACATAGTTCCGTGGTCCCCTGCCTCTCCTCACCCAACCCCACCCTTCACTCCACCCCAGAGTAGACAAACCAGACTTTGGGACTTCATTCTTGCTGTTCCGTTCCCTCTGCCCGGAACTCCCTTTCCACAGCTGGCTTCTTCAGATCTCTCTGAAGTAACACTCCTCTGGGTCTCCCCCACTGCTTTTTCTCAACAGTCATGTGATTTCTTAGCTCCTATTACAATCTCTGATTGTTTTATCATTTGCTTGTCTGTTTTTGCTTCTTTTGTTTGTTTTTGGCATTCTTCCCCATTGGTGTGTGACCTCCATTTCAGCAGGGACTGGGGCTGGGTGGCCTGGTCACAGCCCATGTCCCCACCACACGCCCTGGAGCCTCACTGAGTATTCAGCCCATGGGTAACCCCTGACCCGGTGCGACACCTTCGAGTCCCAAGTCCCCTTTACTCTATCCCCACGCCTTTGCTTATGCTGATCCCATGGCTCTTCCCTAACCCTCTGGACTCCCCCATGGTACCCACCCGTGGCTGTCACTGTCTTGGGATGGGTCTGTCCTCCCCATGTACTGTGAGCCCCAGAAAGACAGGACCAAGGATGTCATGGTCCCTGCCAGGCCCCCAGCACAGGACAGGACACAGAAGGAGTGGTCAGTGGACAGGCATTAATCCAGCCAAGTGCAGGGTATTGTTGGAATGCATAATGAAAATTTACTGGCAAATGGAAGTGGCAGAGAAGCTGGCATTCCAGGGTGAGGGGTTGGCTTGGAGAAATCCGAGAAGAAAGAGTATGGCATGAGTGGGAGCCATCAGAAGGGGAGAGATCAGCAGGGATCAGATGACAAAGAGCCTACAAGCCACGGTGAGGGGTCTGAATGCCAACCTAAGGCCCTGGGGATCCTGGACGGGTGTAAGCAGGAGAGGAACTGGTTCATATTGGTACTTCAGAAGATCCCACTACCTGCCTTGTTGGGGAGAGAGGGGAAGCACTGTTTGTCCCCAGGTGAGTGATGACTGATAAGTGATGATAATGAAAGGGCCTGGATGAGCTGAACCAGAGCAGGCCGAGGGGACAGTGACATCCCAGAATGAACAGGATAGGGTACCTGTCTTCAGAGTAGCCAGGTCTGGTTAGACTCCTGACTATGCCCCTACCACCTGCATGACAGTGGGCACGCAACTTTCCTTCCTTTTCCTCCCCCGTAAAATGAAGTTAATACAAACATAGTGATCCAAAGGGGCACCTGCACCCCAACGTTTATAGCAGCAATGTCCACAATAGCCAAACTATGGAAAGAGCCCAGATGCCCACTGACAGAAATATGGATAAAGATGATGTGGTATATACATATATATGTGTATACATATACACATATACACACACACACACACACGTATACACAACGAAGTATTACTCAGCCATCAACAAATGAAATCTTGCCATTTGCAACAACATGGATGGAACTAGAGGGTATTATGCTAAGCGAAAGAAGTCAATCAGAGAAAGACATATATCATATGATTTCATTCATATGTGGAATTTCTAAGAAACAAAACAGATCATTGGGGAAGGGAGGGAAAAATAAAATCAGACGAAATCAGAGAGGGAGACAAACCATGAGAAACTCTTAACTCTAGGAAACAAACTGAGGGTTGCTGGAGGGGGTGGGTAGGGGATGAGGTAACTGGGTGATGCATATTAAGGAGGCCAAGTGATGTAATGAGCACTGGATGTTCTATCCAACTGATGAATCACTGAACTCTACCTCTGAAATGAATTAATACACTATATGTTAATTAATTGCATTTAAATAAAATAAAATCTAAAAAAATTTTAGAGAATTAAGTTTGGAGGGGGAACCAAGATATATATGGCACTGGGCACGAGCTGGGAAACCGAATCAGGGATGTGGATGGAGCTGGGCCCTGGGATGTGGAACGGGTGTTGCTATGATGAAGTCTTCACTCTCCTCAGTGCCCAGGATGCATATTGCTGAGAAGTTCAACTGGGCTGAGGCCAGGCGGCAGCCAGGTGAAAACGTGAAGTAGTCCTGGAAGCAGCAATGAGTCAGTCTGTGACACTTTGTTTTCAGGAGTTCACACACCTAAGGGCAGACCAGTTAGTCCCCTCCTAAAGCAACTATCTGCTGGTGATTCCATTAGAATCCACTGGAGAGCTGAGGGTGGCCTGATCAGAATGGCTCAATCAGAAACTGGTGACGAAGTCTGGGGCAGCTGTCCACAATAAAGTTCCAGACTCGATCGCCCTCCTTCACTGTCCTAGAGCCTCTTCAGAAGTGATGACACCACGAAGCTCCATCTTGGGTAAGGAGGACCCCCAAATGCTGCCATCATCTCACCCCAACCCCAGCGCAGCTCCCAAACCTCAGCATCATCCCCGGCCCCTCCCCCTGGGCAGCCCCAGCTACTCAGGGCCTGGCTGAGCTAACTCCCTTGCAGACGCACCTTTAAATAAACTTAACCTGTGGCTTCTTCCATACTCGCCTGCCTTCCCTGAGGACCCCACGGCCACTTTCTCTGCCCCATGCTCCACCTAGCCATATAATGATTTATAAGAAATATGTATTTGGTCATTCAGATAACCAAAATATAGTCCTCAGATATATTTGGTCTTCACAGTTTGGGAAAATGACTCAGAACCGTAAAGGTAAAATGGGTGTCTTGTTATTAATGAAGGTAACTTTTGGACCCCACCCAAGCATGGGTGCCGGTAGCCAGGAGGCCCAACCCTGTGAATGAAGGAGTGGAAATTTCATTCCCACCTTCCCTAGCTCCCGGGAGGAGAGAGGGGGCTAGAGACCGAATCCGCCCATGGCCAATGACTTTGTCAGTCATGATTATGCAATGAAGCCCCCCATGAAAACCCAAAAGGACTGGGTTTGGAGGGCTTCCAGGCTGGTGAATCCATGGGCTCTGGGGAGAGTGGCGCCCCTGGAGAGGGATGGGTGTGCCACAACCCTTCCCCAGACTTCACCCTATGATCTCTTCACCTGGCTGTTGACTTATATCTTTTATCATATCTTCTAATAAACTAGTAAACATAAGGAGGTGTTCCCTTCAGTCTGTGAGCCCCTCTAGCAAACTGAAAGAACCTAAGGAGAAGGTAGGCAGGAAAACAGAGAAGCTGATCCTATGCTGGGCCCTGGGCTGCCCATCTTGGGACACTCAGAGACGCCCCCAAGACCTTCATTTCCTTGTGCCTCAGTCCCTCATCTGTAAAACAGGGGTAATACCCATCTCCCTGAGCCACTGAGGCTCTGTAAGGAAGGTTCTCAGGATTTGAGTATTAGGGGGGGAGCAGGATTGGCTGGAAACTCCAATCTGTAGCCAGTGGGTCAGAAGCACAGGTAACAGCCTGGGGCTTGTGACTAGCATCTGCGGTGGGGGGTGGGGCACAGCCTTGTAGGACTGAGCCCATAACCTGTTAAGACTCTGATTCTATCTCTGCGGAGACAGCCGCAGACTGGAGTTGAAGTCTCAGACACCCTGCTGGCGTCTCAGAATTGTTTGGCATTGTGTGTGCAGGAAGCCCCCAAATGCTGGAACTTCCGAGAACCATAAAAGAGCCCCCCGCCCTTCTTTTTCCCACAGGTCCTGTCTGCCTAACAATCTTCCTCCTCCAGTGTGCAAAAGTGGTCACAGGTCAGGACAAGGATCGGGAAGATGGGGCGGGAGGAGGCTGCCCTCAGAGTGGGTGTCTGGTCTTCCTTGGACCCACACCATCAGTGTCTCCGCCAGATGCCCCCACGGCCTCAGGGCCGTGGCTGTGCCAGCCTGCCCCCAGGTGTGGGGGCCAGATCTACAACCCCGTGGAGCAGTGCTGTGATGACGACACCATCCTGCCTCTGAATCGGACTCGCCTTTGCGGCCCCAACTGCACCTTCTGGCCCTGCTTTGAACTCTGCTGTCCTGAGTCCTTTGGCCCCCAGAAGTTTGTCGTGAAATTGAAGGTCCTGGGTGTCAAGTCCCGGTGCTTCTCATCCCCTACCTCCAGAAACTGCCCCAGGTAATGGCCCCTAACGGCTCCTGGCTGAGGGAAGGAGGGATGAGGTACGCAGAGGGTCACAAGAGGATCCCCTGTCCTGTTGTCGTTCTTGTTTAATTTTTTTTTTTTTTAAGTTTATTTAAGCAATCTCTACACCCAATGCGGGGCTCAAACTCACGACCCCGAGATCAAGAGCCGCACACTCTAACAACTGAGCCAGCCAGACCACCCCCTCCCCACAACCTGTTGTTTTACCTCCGGCCATTTCTGGAATCTTCCCACTCTTCCTTGCCTGTGTCTCATAATTTCCTAATTTTTCTTTCTCTGTGGCCAAAGGAAACTTTTCTAGACGAGCTCCTTATGAAAATGTGATGTTTTCCACACGCTAGCAAAGACCCCAGTCTACATCGCTAGCTTCCCCCCAGTTCCTGCAGGGTAGGCAGGAAAACAGAGAAGCTGATCCTGTGCTGGGCCCTGGGCTGCCCATCTTGGGACACTCAGAGACTCCCCCAAGACCTTCATTTCCTTGTGCCTCAGTCCCTCATCTGTAAAACAGGGGTAATACCCATCTCCCTGAGCCACTGAGGCTCTGTAAGGAAGGTTCTCAGAATTTGAGTATCAGGGGGGAGCAGGATGAGATGAAAACCCTTTTCGTGAAAACTGTGCATGTGTATTCTGAAATGGAAACAAGTAAATTAAAAAAGAATGTACATCAACAAAGGCGTGTGAAATTTAGAAAGCAGCTTCTAGACTATCTACCTGATGGCTTCGTGTTGCATGAATTTATAAAATCAAAACCTCTCTTTTCATTTTCTTATTGGCTTAATCTCCTCCGAAACTGGATAAAGGAAACGTCACTTAAAATGGAGTCAGGAGCCCAGAAAAGGAAGTTTTCACGCTACAACATACACAACCCTTCGCAGAACCAACTGGAAGAAGCCTACATGACTACCTCAGCAAGAGGAAGATTCTGTCCTGGCAAAAGCCCAGTCAGGCAATGAGAAGCCACTACTCACAGAACTCCTAGTGTATTCCAATGGGCTTTTCCTTTCTAACAGTCCCTCCCACCTCCCCGTGTTCCTCTATAAAAAATTAGTCTCCCCTTTCTGGACTTGCCTGTGGTTTTGCCATGGCTTGTGTGTATCAGATTCTAAATCTCTGCTATTCCTGAAAAAAAAAAATGGGCGGTGGGGAGACAGGCTGGTAAAATAACATTTCTAGGGCGCCTGGGTGGCTCAGTTGGTTAAGCGACTGCCTTCGGCTCGGGTCATGATCCTGGAGTCCCTGGATCGAGTCCCGCATCGGGCTCCCTGCTCGGCGGGGAGTCTGCTTCTCCCTCTGACCCTCCCCCCATCTCATGTGCTTTCTCTCTCATTCTCTCTGTCTCTCAAATAAATAATAAAATCTTTAAAAATAAATAAATAAATAAATAAATAAAATAAAATAAAATAACATTTCTAATGTCGACATTACATACCCAAATGAGACGAAATCACTATCTTGAAGAGACAGTGGCACACCCCTGAGAGACAGCCACACATCCATGTTTGCTGTGGCATTATTCACAGTAGCCAAGACATCCATACCCAGCAACCTAAACACCCATCGACAGAAGAACAAATAAAGAAAATGTGGGAGAGGGCGCCTGGGTGGCTCAGTTGTTAAGCATCTGCCTTCGGCTCAGGTCATGATCCCAGGGTCCTGGGATCGAGTCCCGCATCGGGCTCCCTGCTCCTTGGGAGCCTGCTTCTCCCTCTGCCTCTCTCGAATAAAAAAAAAAGAAAGAAAGAAAAAAAAAAGAAAATGTGGGAGACATTATAAATACAGCAGAGTATTGTTCAGCCATAAAAAGGGGAAATCTTGCCATTTGTGACAACATCAATGAACCAGGAAGGCTTTATGCCAAATGCAGGAAGCCGAACAGAGAAAGACAAATAGTGTATAATATCACTTATACGTAGAATATATGACAACAACAAAAAGCTGATTTCATAGACACAGAGCATAGGTAGAATGGTGGGTGCCACGGGCTGGGAGGAGGAAGAAATGAAGAGAGAGGTTAAAGACTACACACTTTCTGCTATAAGAATAAGTTCTGAGGGGGACGGCTGGGTGGCTCAGTCGGTTAAGCATCTGCCTTCAGGTCATGATCTTGGGTCCTGGGATAGAGCCCCACATCAGGCTCCCTGCTCAGCGGGGAGTCTGCTTCTACCTCTGCCTCTCCGCTCTGGCTTGTGCTCCCTCCCTCTCTCATAAATAAAATCTTAAAAAAAAAAAAAAAGAGTGTCATAAATAAAATCTTAAAAAAAGAAGTAAGTTCTGAGGCTCTCATGTACAGCATGGTGATGTTAGTTAATAATATATATGGTATTATATACTTGAAAGTTGCTCTGAGCAGATCTTAAGCAGTCTCAAAAAACACTAAGGTTTGCTATGTGAGGTGATGAATGTGTTAGTTATCTTAGTAATAGCCCCACAATATAAATGTAGATGGTGAAAATTAGTAATGGCAAACCTCATTACAATGAAGTGGGAAGGTTTGGGCAGGGGGAGCTCTCACCACCTACCACTCATAGTCAATTGCACACCCAACAGGAAGAGACGGACTTGACCTTGCATGATCTTGAACTCGAAGGAGGATACCATTCACAGGGGGAAGGAAGCGGCTTTCCTCATCCCTCCAAGCAACAGCTCCCTCAGGGAGAAGCCACCACTCTTGGAATTCCAAACTTGCCGGTGGTTTGGCCACAGCTTGTTTGTCTGGAATTGCAGTTCTCCTGTGTTCCTCCAATAAACCCATCTTTTGCTGACAAAATAACTGGCTGAGTCTATTTTTAAAGCTAACAATGATGTAGAAAATGTCAGGGTTCAGAGTCAAGGGCCAAGAAAGAATTCTAAAAGCACGGGGACAGGCCCCGGGGGCAGAAAGAGCTTCACTGGGGTTGTGACAGGAAACTGATGATAAACTTTCAAGTTGGAAGGGGGTTACCGACAGCACAAACTTCCAAGGTATTTTGTAAACAAGGTTTCCAGGACCCTAAGGGGTTTTTACTGTTTAGTAAAAATTCAGTCATGAATTTTTCAGTGTATACAATGGGCCAGTGCTTGGGAGTATAACTCCCAACACACCTTGGTGGGGGTGGGCAGTAAGGAAATTTAATTTTTTCTTTGCCTTTGTTTCCCACACCAACAACACACAAAAAAGTTAATTCTGTAAGGTGATGAATGCGTTACCTTGACCTTGGTAATAATTCCACAAAATACATGCGTATGAAATTATCATACTGAATACTTTAAACATACACAGTACATTTGTCAATTATCCCTCAATAAAGCTGAAAAAAACATTTAAATGGGATCATTTCAATGAACAAAGCATGACTCGCGGAATATAATTACAAGCAGCTTTTTTCTTCACACCTCTTTCCTTTTACGTATTTTTCTGTAGTGCTAGTTTTTCCCCTGCCCCTGGATAAAAAGATCAAATCCCATGAAATTTCCTGGTCCCTTTTATTTAATAAACATCCTCCTCTGACCAATTTAAAATGTTCAGAGGCACCTGGGTGGCTCAGTCGGTTAACCATCCAACTCTTGCTTTCCGCTCAGGTCTTGACCTCAGGGTTGTGAGATCAAGCCTGGCATCCAGCCCCACACTGGGTGTGGAGCCTGCTTGGGATCCTCCCTCTCTCCCTCTCCCTCTGCCCCACGGGCCCTCTCTCTCTCTCTCTTAAAAAAAAAAAAAAAAAAGTAAAATGTCCAGAAGTATGTAAAAGTGAAAACAACCATCTTGATTGAGAGTTACATTTTCTCCCTCCTAGCTCTGCCCCGCAGGAAAAGTGGAAGGCTGAAACCGAGGAAGGAATGTGGGCACCTTTTACTTTTTTCTCCCCCCCGACACTTTTATGAATCTTCTCCCAGTCTGCTTAGTTTCTGAACCTATCGCTGAAGGAGCTGGGGGAGGGATGACAGTAAAGATCAGGGAGTTCCGAGACGGGGGCACTGAAGTTCTCCTCCCCGAGGACCATCATGGTGGTCTAGCCCCGACACCCCCGGACTTTGCAAATACTTAAAGCTGCTTCTTTCCCTCCGGGGTGCATTTTGGCTTCAACACAGACACGTATCTCTCACCTGACCTTCCTTTGAGGAGGGCAAGCGCCTCGGTTCCGTTTGCACATCCAGGTTCCTTATCAACCTTGAACAGTCAGCAACCCAAATCCAGCGGCAGCTAGGCTGGCGGGCGTCACACAGATGTCCATGCAGCTGCAGCCGGTGGGCCCCTGCCAGCCACGGAGGTGCCATGGCTTTTCCAAAGCGCAGGCTACTTGCCTGGGGACGCCAGGGCCTTGACGGGGCAGACGCGGCTTATGGGGGCCGAACCCCACGTGTGTGACTTGGGATCTCGGCCTGGATAAAGGGGTGCACGCTGGCTCCTGCCCCGTGGAAGATGCACCTGTGTAACCTGGCCAGGTGCGCTGCACGAGGCACGATTCTCCGGACTCCCTTCCAGAGACGCAGAACTTGGAGGCCTGACGCCCCAGAGGCGGCAGCGACCTGACACTGAGTCCCGGGGCCGCCAAAAGAAATCATTAAGGAGGATCGCAGCCCCATGCAAGGGTGGTCCTAGCCACGAACTCAGCGGCATCCCAGGTTCCGGGGCGCCCCAGGGACAGCAAAAGCCACGTACAACAGTGACCCCAGACTGGCTCCCTCGCTGGAAACATGGCGGCCCCGCCCCCGCAGTAGTGCGCATGAGCGAGCTCTACTGCAGGCTCCTGCGCACTGCAGGGCTGTTCCGCACCGCGACCTCAGTCTCCTCCTACCACGCGGCAGGACTGCTGGGGATGCTGGCCAGGAGATCCGAGGAGACAGTGGCCTGCATGCTTTTTAAGCGACAGTGTGAATGCAATATGCTGCTATGTTTGGTGCATTTTAAACCCGCCCTTGATCCCAGGATTAGATGATGTTATAACCCCTATAAAAACTAAATGACCAAAAACCAGACCGATCCTTTACCGGGTGAAGAGTCCACCGATGCCTCTTTGGATAGTAAGGTCCTGGTGGTCTATGTTAAATTTGTTCATGCCACGTTCATGGTTGGTGGGCGGGGGGGGGGGGGTGCGGAGAGCGGTGAGTGAAAAAAGGTTCAGGATAAGTTTTAGCCTCTTCTCCGTGGGAAGTTGACCTCAGGCAATCTTCTCTCCATACAGTTTCTTTGGAACCGTCCTGGGTTAGGATAAATGTGGAGTGTCAACTGTGTCATCAGGAAACATTGTTTATCATTAAGAGGACACCTGATCTGGACTAAAAGAACTGTGAATGTGTGACCAAAAAGAATTAGAGATCCTTAGAAAAAGAAAGACAAACATAGATTTCTTGATATGAGAAAGTTCTTTTAGCTGTCCCCATCCCCCATCTTGTGAAAGAATGTAAGAACAAATGGCCAGGAAGTTGACTAATCATATCAGAACAATGAATCAGTGTTAAAACTCACAGTACTCATTCATAAGTGAAGACAGCCTTACGCACACTAATGAGTTATCTTTGCTGGATCTAAACCCCTCTGAGCACTCAGATACTGGACCAAAAGGAGCCAGAGAATTGATGATCCTGACCCTTGCCAACCCTGGTGACTCTGTCATGGACTCAAGTCACTTCAAGATGATTTTCACCCAATTCCATGCTGTATTCCCCATTGCACAAGTCCCTTCATGATTATGGATGCACCCTTAGCTTAAAACTTCTCCAATTTTGTTCGGGGAGACACTGCTTTGGGAAAGACCCCTAGTGTTCTCCTTTACTTGTTTCAAATAAAACCCTTTCTTTTCCTATTCTTTGACTTGGTTGTGTCTTTTGGTTCAACCCACACCAAGAGGCCAAGCGGTGAACCCAGTTACAGGTAACAAATGGACACATAGAGCCACACAGAGGGCCTGTATCATCTGGACTACAAAGAACAGTTTAAGAGATAAACCTTGGTTTTCCCGGGTGGAGTTTCTTGTTTCTGAGCATAACACTTGTGTATTTTGGAAACTACACTGAGTTTCCCTATTCTATGTCTGTTTTCTGTTTACAACCACAATGTATGACGAGCAGCAGATTTCTTCTGTTCAGGTTGACATTCACGTACACAAGCCAAAATAGGGCTGCAACTTGGCATAGCAGAGTTAAAAAGACATAGGAGGGAAACCCAACATGCACCATGACAGCATCACACACATCTTTATTGGGATGCCTTGTAACTATCTAGGTGGTGATTTCCAGTGCCCCAAACAGGCAGCTCAGCTGAAAGGAGTAAGCCCTGTGGTTGGAATTGTCACCTTGATCAATTCAATGTGGCTGGGATAACAAAATCGCTCCTTGAAAGTCAGAGCATACCCCTCACTCCATGAGACTAACTATGAACTTGTGAAGATAAAGGATCTTTATAATTGGATTGGAGAATGCACTTGGGGAAGCCCTTAGCTCCCAGGACAAGTCATCTCCCACTTGACAGTGATTCCTCATAATTAGGATATTGTTATGGCTAGACATCAGGCAAAGAGGGCTTCTTTTTTTTTTTTTTTTTAAGATTTATTTCTTTCTTTTAGGGAAAAAGAGAGTCTCGAGCAGACTCTGATCTGAGTGCAGAGCCTGACATAGGGCTCCATCTCAGGACCCTGAGATCACGACCTGAGCCGAAACCAAGAGTTGGACACTCAACCGACTACGTCACCCAGGCAGCCCGTGAAGAGGGCTTCTTGATGGTTTTATCCCTTAGCCTTATTTGTCCCAAGAGACACTCTATAGATGTAAAATTACAAGTAGAGAGCCACTTTTAACCTAACCCAACATGGAGTCACCCACAAATTCAGAAAATGGCCCTCCAAAACTTAATGGCCCTTGATATCCTGACTACAAGTCAAAGGGGAACTTATTATGCTAATATTGAGACTAAATGTTGTGTATATATCCCAAATGACTTTGCCAATGTATCCAAAGTTTTAGCTTATAAGCCCACCCAAATTAAGGCAAGGTCTCATTCCTTTAGAGCTCCCAATGACTGGATTTCTTCCTGGTTTAGCAGAGATGGATTTCACGATGATAATATTTTCACATGTATCATTTAAAATATTTTCTAACTTACTATTTTGAAAATTTTAGACTTACAAAAAAGTTACAAGGACAACAAAGAGTTTTTATCTTTCATAATGTTGTCATCTTACATGATTCTAATTATTGAAACCAGGAAATTAACATTGACATGATACTATTAACTAATCTGCAGACCTTATTTTAATTTCTCCAACTGTCCCCTGATGTCCACTACATGCTCGGGATCCAATCCAGAATCCCACATTACATTTGATCGATGTAACTCCTTTGTGCCCTTCCATCTGGAATAGTGTTCTGTGTTTTCTTAGTCTGTATTTGTCTATTTAGCATCCATGATAGGACCAAACTAAAGGTCACATCTGCCCTGTGATCTGTAGTCATGCTCTGGCCCACCCCCTTTATCTACTCTCACACACAAAACCAATATTGTCCCTGCCCTAAATCAACCCAGAAGCAGGTACCAGACAACTAGAGATCACCACTAAAGCCCAGAGCCCAGCAACATTAACTAACTAGTCAATTCCAAACTGTTTCCTGTGCCCTGCTTTGCCTTTCCTTGGAAAACACAATAAGTCTCTAGCCTATGATTTCCTCTCCCTCCTGCTTCTTCCTCACGACCAAACCTGGTGTTTCCCCATGTTACTCTGCATGGCATGCGTCTCTCTAGGGAAACAGTGAGTAACATCAAACTCCTTTCAA